GCTTGAGCTAGTCAACCATTAAGGTATATTTTAATTCCCATAGTCTGTGATTCAATGATTTAGTGATTTTGAGACTACAAGTTCTCATGTCTTTCACAAATGAAAAACACAACAAACTCCACTCCATAAGACAAGGTCATCAAATTGTCTGGGAACCCAAGCAATGAACATGTATTTACTGAATATCTTCAAAGTGCCCAGAAGGCCTTGGGCTTTTATGTCAAATATACAAATGTGCAGGATAGTCTACTTCCAACAGGATGAAAGTGACTTAGTTGGAAAAGAGTTAGTAAAAAAAAAACAAACTTAAACTTACATAGTGTTTTAAAAATAGATTTTTAATGAGTTCCTTTGATTTTGCATTACTTGTCAGAAGATAGAGGGGATATTTCAGAGGATATACCATCTATATTCAAAGACACAGAGTACCCCTCATTTTCTGCTTCTGAGACAGATACTTCTATTAGTTATCTTCAAAATGTGTGAGTTTGGACTGCTTAGTTGTAGTGAAGGAAAGGGAATGGGTCGCTGCTCCTGATGTCTCTGAAAATATCAGTCCATAGTTATGTGGTGGCCATGACATCCAGTAGAATACTGGGTGCTATGAAGAACTGGACTGAAAACCAGAAACAAAATGTTCTTTCCTTTAGCAACGTCATGGTTTGACCACTCCTGGAATATTCTGCACAGGATCACTGCCACTGAAAGTGACCATTGAACTGGAGAAGGTCCAGTGATGAGTCACTAAGAATCTCAGAGCTGGGAGAAACCTCACAGGGGCACCAAGTACAGCCTGTTCATGGACAGAAAGAGTAGTCTGTTAGCCTACACTTCAAGACAATAAGAAATGGGGGAACTTGATGGTTCCCAGGGCGGTATCTTCTGTTTTAGAACAATGCTGATTATTAGGAAATGTTTTTTTTTTCTTGTGTTGGAAATCTAGCCTTAAACACTTGCTACTGGAGAAACCCTGAAAAGTATCTTAGCTTCTGTGTGCCTCAGTTTCTTTCACTATGAAATAGTGATAATATTAGCATCTACTTCTCAGGAAAGTTGTGAAAGTAAAATGAGATATCTATAAAGGTAGGAAGTAAATAAATGTTTTTAAGTGCCTACTTTGTGCTAGGGACTGGGCTAAGAATAACCCTGGGAGGGAATTAATCTTGTTCCCCATTTTACAGTTTAGGAAATGGGCAAACAAAGGTTAAGTGACTTGCCCAGGGTAACTCATCTAGTAAATGTCTGAGGTTAGATTTGAACTCAGGTCTTCCTGTTTCCAGGTCCCAATTTTCTCCACTGCATCAATCTTGAGGTACTATATAGATAACTAGTTATCTTCTTAAATCTTAAATCTGCTTCTCTGTAACTTTCCCTCATGTCTCCTAATTCTGCCATCTGAGGCTGAGAAGAACAAGAATAATTTCATTCTTCAGGAGAGCCCTTGAAGATAGCTATTATCATCCCCCCTCCACCCCATCTCTCCCCCAAAATCTTCTATTAGCTAAACATGCCCAGTTCTTCCAACAAATCCTGGAATGGAGTTGGCTCAACTTTCCTCCTCATCTTATCCTGAGGATGACAGGATCGTAGATTTAAAGTTATAAGGGAATTTATAAGCAGTCTAGTTCAATCCTGTCATTTCTACAGATGAAGAAACTGAGTCCCAGAGAGACAGCATGACTTTCCAAAGGTCACAAACATAGTAAGTGTCAGAGCCAGTATTTAAATTGAGGCCATATGATTAAAGATCTCACACTTCTTTAAACCTTGACACATAGCTTCTCAAGTAATCTTCCTTTGTATCTTCTCCAGCTTTTCTACATCTTTCCCAAGACGTGGTGGCTAGAACAGACATTCAGGTGTGATCTAAGTCAGAGAACAGTGGGACTAACATATACTTTTTCCCCCTGGATACCCATATCTCTATTAATTTAACCCAAGATGATATTACCTTTTCTTGCTTTCAATTTCATACTCTTGACTTGATCAAGAAGATACTTATAGCCACATAAGCACAGGCTAAAAAGATACAGATTTCAGAATGGAAGAAAGAAGAGGGGAAAAGGATATGGTCTTTCCTTAGTTCATCTGAAGAACCATCATTTCGTTATTATTCATCTTCCTCCCACTATTACAAATCATGGCCCTTCCACACTGTAGTCAACAATGTTTGTGAGTTATTGTGGCTAGAAATGTCATTATCTGGTGTTTATCCTTCAGGAATAAATTTCATACTTAGTTAGACTGGTCCTCATACTTTAATCCATTTCTGTCTCTATATATCAAGCCCTTTGAGGTTTGCCACACTGTGCAGAGACTGTGTTCTCCAGTCACAGCTTTTGTGAATAACCAGGGACAGTGCTGCACCACTACAAGGCATCAAGGGGTAATATGAACAAAGGCAGGATATAATCAGAGTACTGGAATTCATGGAGGGGATGAATTGGTTCCATGCCTTTATATATTAGAACTAGAGGTCAGTCCTTAAACTTGAGAGGTAAGATTAAGATAAATGACAGGTCATAACACTACATCTTCCTTCATATCACTTCTAATTCCCCAGGCTATCAAATATTAATTTCCTTTAACTTTGGTTTCAGTACATAAAGGATCCATTATTTCGTTGGCAGAAGTATTACCACCATGATTGCCTATCACAAGCCCTCTATAACTCTGTAGTTTACTGTTTCAAGTTATTAATACCAAAATAATTTATCAGGTGGTGGCCAAAAGGATGACGATCTTCTCATTTTGTCCCTAGAGTCCTTCTTGAACAAATGGTAAAGTCTGTAATCAGGCTTGTGCCCTAAACCTTGTAAGATTGGAAGGACATGCCCAAGTTGATGATCCATCATAAGAGCCTTTGAGAGTCAAGTTAATTGGCATTTATTCAGAGTCTACTATGTACAAGGCACTGTGTTAAACGCTGGGGATATAGACAAAGGCAACAAAAGTCCTTGGCATCAAGAACCTCACAATTTAATGGTGAAACAATGTGCAAAGAGCTTTGTACAAACAAAATACATTGCCTGCTTCACACTATGAGAAGACACTGGAGTTGGATTATAGTGGAAGGGCCTCCTTACAAGAGAATTATTACACAATAATTCTTAAATCACATCATGGTGCATTCTTGTTGTTATTTTTGTTTGTTTGTTTGTTTTTGGTGGGGCAATCAGGGTTAAGTGACTTGCCCAAGGTCACACAGCTAGTAAGTGATAAGTGTCTGAGGCTGGATTTGAACACAGATCCTCCTGACTCCAAGGCTGAAGCTTTATCCACTGCACCACCTAGCTGCTTCCATGGTGCGATCTTTAAAGAAGGAACTAAACTTGTGAATCTCATTCCTCTAAGCAGTAGCATGAGCTGAGGTATAATTAGTTTCCAATGATTTCTTAGATACAATTGTGAAATGCCAGGTCTATGATGAGTAACTAGGAGACATTAATTAATTTCAGGTTCAGTCTTAATTATTGAAGAGGATGATTTGCTTCAGATCGCTCAGCTAGTGAACTCCAAACCTTTGCATTTCAAGGAACCTTAGAGGTCATAGATTCATATTATTGAGATGTATCACAGATCCTGGAGAATACCTGGATAAATCACTCATTTTGAAGTTCCCAGATGTCATTCGAGTATTAAATTACTGAATTAGTATTAAAAGCCAGGTTCTCTGACTGCAAAATACAGTGCTCTTTTCTGTCCATCACAGTTTTGGCTTTCTGCCACTCTGGGAATTTCTAACCCTCCTGCTAGGTACTGGCCATGCAAAGATGAAAATAAAATTTTTGTGCCCTCAAAGAGTTGGAAAATATAAACACAGACAAATAAATGTGAAGGGATTTAAGTTCTTAAGTTCTCAATGAATTTCAAAACCATTGATTAAAGTTCACATTTGATGACTCATCTTGGCATGGAAGAGACTCTCCAATCCAATCCAGCAAAAATTTATTAAATACCCACCATATGGAAAACTATGCAAAATGTGGAAGATTCAAAGACAAACCAAACCAGCAAATAAATTCCATCCTTGATCTCAAACTTCTTACCATCTAATAAGCATACAAGATAGACATAAAATTATGTACATAATACTCAAGGAGGAGAGAGAAAGAAATAATGTTTAAGAGGGTCAAATGAGCCTTGCCACATGAGGCAAGATATAAGGTGAATCTTCATTTCTGAAGAATATGACAAGGAAGTCCATAATCCATTTCATCCCACCAAGATACAAAGGCTTTGAGAGCAGTCTGGGTTGACTGTGCCTATTGTCAGAGCACCAGCCTTGTAAAGTCTGGAGACCTTCAACACCAGAAAGTTGGTTATATAGTTATGCTTTTTTTGGTCATGGGAACTCAAAATAATCTATAAAGGTGCAGGAGTTGTGATTTTCAAAAATAAAGAAAATGATGAAATTATGTTTCACCCAAATGTATTTCACTCAATACTTCCTTTCACCCAAGTTAAGTATCTTTTGTTTAAAATACTTAAATAGGTTTGGATCCTTTCTCCAGTGTTGCATATTGTATTTATCCATGCCAGTCCATACCGCTTGGCATTCCTCACTTTCTGTGCCATCCTGAGGATACCAGTGGAGCACACTGGTGTCTGTCATCTCCTGCCCTAATCAAAAGAACATCAGCCCAGCAGTGACAAAGCCCTATGATAAATTAAAAAGAACACTTCATTTGCAGTCAGATGGCTTTGTTCAATGCTGATTCTGCCACTTAAGACCTAAGCAATCTGGATTAAGTAACTTTACCTTTTAGGAAAAAGAGATTCAACAAAGTGGGGTGAATCTGACTTGGTCATACAGCTGGTAAATTTCAGAGCTAGGAGTTGAATTTGCCACCTATACCTACATTTCTGATATCTTCTGATAAAGACAGTATAATCCTATTTCTCAGTGGATTTTCCTTCTTTTTAGAATAAGTTCCTGTTGTATTCTTGAGCTCATCACTTTCTTATACACTCTGGAGCTTCAGGAAGGGATGGACACTATGGGCCCCATCGTGAACTTGGCTAGAAGCAATCAGTCTTCAGTTGAGGAGTTTGTCCTCTTGGCTTTTTCCCATGTTCCCAGGCTCAAGCCAGTTCTCTTTGTGTTGTTTCTGGGGATGTTTCTAATCACAATGCAAGGAAATGGCCTCATTGTACTCTTGACTGTGGTCGACACTGCCCTCCACACACCTATGTATTTTTTCCTCAGGAACCTAGCCCTGGTGGAGATCTGCTTTTCTTTGGACATTGTGCCCAGGATGCTGGTAAGCTTGGTGGCTGGAAGGGGCATCTCCCTGGTGGGCTGTGCCCTCCAGCTGTTTCTCATTCTGTCCTGTGTCACCTCAGAGTGTTTCCTCCTGACAGTGATGGCCTATGACCGCTACGTGGCCATCTGCCACCCCCTGCACTATGGGGTCCTCATGAACCAGAGACTCTGCCTCCTTCTGGCAGCGGCGTGCTGGGTGGCGGGCATCCCCGTTTCCCTGCTGTTCACCATTTGGCTCTTCCACTTCCCATTTTGTGGACCCCGAGGGGTTCGCCACTTCCTCTGCGATGTGGCACCACTGCTGAGGCTGGTGTGTGCTGACACGGCTGTCTTTGAGACCTACATTCTTGTGGCCACAGTGCTTGTCATGATGGTGCCTTTCTCCCTCATCACTGTGTCCTACAGCCGTGTCTTGGCTGCAGTTGTCCAGATGCCCTCGGCCACTGGGCGCCATAAAGCCCTCTCCACCTGTGCTGCCCACCTTATTGTTGTGGCTCTCTTCTATGGCACAGCTTGCGTCATCCACCTCCAGCCCAAGTCCAGCTACTCTCCTGAGAACAAGCAGGTTGTGTCCTTGTCCTATATGCTCGTCACTCCCATGCTCAACCCCATCATCTACAGCCTGAGGAACAAAGAGGTGAAAGCTGCCCTGTGGAGGGTGTTGGGTAGGAAAAAAGCGGGTGCCCAGATGACTTGAGCCCTAGTGGTCTGCTTTTGGTCATAGTCGGGGGGAGTGGGACCACTGGGAGTCAACATCCAGAGACCAAAACTTATGAGATTGCTTTCCAGGGAGAAGATTAAATCAATACTGTATCATTTTTATTATTCCTATTTACAATTAATTAATTTGTCCTATAACTGCTTAAACCATGGTTCTTTGTCTCTGAACTTAGTGCCGAAATTTAGCTGGTCTATAATGAGTTAAATTTAGAAATCCAATTCTCACTCTTCTTTTCTTGCCTCAAAGAAATCTATTATCTCAGGGCTACTAGGTGGCTTAGTGGATAGAACACTGGCTCTGGAGTCAGGAAGACCTGAGTTCAAATCTGACCTCAGACACATAATACTCAGTAGCTGTATGACTCTGGGCAAGTCACTTAACCCCAATTGTCTCACCAAAAAAAGAAATCTGTTATCCTTGGGGGATGCAAGTGGAGAACAAGTAGTCTATGGTCTAATATTTTTACACCACTGAGCTATCCTTGAAAGATGTCTTGTTTGCTATTCAAAGAAGTCTGCCTCATTATATAACCTTGCAGGTAGACTCAAATAATGATCATTTCTTATTCACAGGAGGGAAGGAGGAGGTTGCTTCTAGACCCTCATTCCCGACTTCCAACCAATCTTATCGTCCTCTGTGCTTCAGCTCTGTAATGAATCATGTTGTTCTCAGGTCCACGATGACACCAACTCTATAACCAATTTCACTATTTCCCCTATAAAAAGGAACTGAGTCTTTATGTCCAGGTCTTTTGGCTAATCGAGGCAGTCATTAGGTCTATCTTATCGGCAGGTTTGCTCCCTGTTAATAAAATGTTATATTTCTTGGAGAAAATGTGTCTCAGTCTACTTTTGTTGAATTTCACTTACAACATTAGCATCATTATTAAGTTACAGACTGTCAGAGCTGGAAGTGTCCACAAATGATTTTAGAAAAAAATAAAGAGTTTTATTTTGGAGATGTTAAATTTAAGGTAGCTATGGGATATCTAGCAGCCACTTGATAATGTGGAACTGGGACTTATAAGAGAGAAATCATATATTAATTATTGATTTGTTTTCTTGACTATGTCTCCATCATATTTGAATGGTTTATTTCTGGCTGCTTGAAGTATTTCCTCTTTGCCTTCAAAGCTCTGGAATTTGGCTATAATATTCCTGGGAGTTTTCATTTTGGGATCTTTTTAAGGTGGTGATCAGTGGATTTTTTCAATTTCTACTTTACCCTCTAGTTTGAGGATGTCTGCATAGTTTTCCTTGATAATTTCTTGATATATGATGTCTAGGCTCTTTCTTTGATAATGGCTTTTAGGTAATCCAATAAGACAGCAAAAACCCTACATTTACTATTTTAAATGTGTTCAACAAAGATTTTCCAGGTAAAAATAATATGGAGAAATCAGCATAAGAGATGAAAACCCCAAAGGCTTCTGTCTCAACAATAAAAAAGGGGTTAAGCTTCAAGGAAATTAAAACAAATGGATTTTGAAAGCTAATATATAAATGACATGATTTATCAGTTTTATCTGTTGAAAGACTTACAAATGATTATGACAGATTTTGCTTCTTCAGGCAAATATCAAAAATAATGCATAGAACTCAGTGCCACTGTCCACAAGTAATTTGACAAGGGAAATGCCTAGCAGGATTCTCACGTCCCTGGCCCTGGGACGCTGCCTGAAATGGTGTGAGCCTTCTTTCAGGTACTACACCACACCTTTTAAAGATGAAACACTCTCTCTAGCCATACCTTTCCCAGCCTGTACTTTTTAAAAAAATTTTTAACTTTTTTTTTTTAGGCAATTGGTGTTAAGTGACTTTCCCAGGGTCACACAGCTAGTAAGTGTCAAGTGTTTGGTCTGAGGCTGGATTTGAACTCAGGTCCTCCTGACTTCAGGGCCAGTGCTCTGTCCACTACACCACCTAGCTGCTCCCACCTTGTACTTTTGAAGGTGAAATTTTGGACCTAAGTGAAGAACTTTACATCTGTCTCTATTGAAACTGAGATCCCAGGGGTGGGAAACCTGTGGCCTCGAGGCCATATGTGGCCCTTGAGGTCCTCAAGTACAGCCCTTTGACTGAATCCCCTTCATAAAAGGATTTGTTCTGTAAAACTTGTATTCAGTCAGAAGGCTGCACTTGAGGACCTAGAAAGCCACAGGTGGTCTTGAGGTCGCAGGTTCTCCACCCCTGGCCTAGCCTCTTGAGACCTTTTAAAGTCCTGGTGCTGACATATAATCCATTAGCTATATCTTAGACATTTGTGACATTAGCCATTTTTGTTAACATGTTATCTATGACTTCATCCAAATGATAGATTCAAATATCTTTAGCACTGGTCCAAGAACAGATCTCTGGAGTATTCTCCTAGGGACTCCTTTCCAAGTTAATGTTCACCTAGTAATGACTACTCTTCAGGTCTAGTCATTCACGTAGTTTTGGAAATACCTCATTATTCAATCATCTAGATTATGCATGAGAGATTATGTCAAAGACATTGCTGGAAAGAACACAGAACTCACTGAATCCTCTGTCCCCAGGGAGGCATATTAATTTCTGGACTCATCCTGGGCATTCCTCCAGTAATTTCCCTTATATTATATTCCCTTAATTCATTTTGCTGGCAAAAGACCACAGACTAGCATTTACCAGGAACTCATTTCAGAGCTACATCAAGAATACCTCACGTTGTGTATCCAAGCCATCTTTCCATGTGTGGTGAATTGAAAAGAAAAGAAAAGAAAAGAAAAGAAAAGAAAAGAAAGAAAAGAAAGAAAAGAAAAAAAAAAAAGAAAGAAAAGAAAAGAAAATGCGACCCCAAACTTTTGGTTTGGGGTCAAGAGCCAAGGATTTGAATCCCACCTCTGCCTAATCTTTGAATGTCAGTTTCTTTACTTTTAATGGAATAGCAATTCTTGTACGAGCCAACTCCCCGGTTTGTTCTAAAGAAAGTGTTATGCAAGCCTTAAAGTTCTATAGAAATGTGAATTATTATTATAATTTCATTTCTCACACAAAGGCTATAAAAAAGAAACTTTAGCCAAAGTTTATTGATTACAAAGGATGAGGCAGAACTTTACAAACATGTATATCATTTACATTATTTTGTGTTTGGAAGTAGCCTCCAAGCTCATTTAGTACAACCCACTTCTGAACAAAAGTCCACTGTCCGACATCTTTCACAAATGGTCATCTAGGGAAGGCTCCCCAAGGCAGCTCCCTCTACTTGGAGCAGCTCTAAGGGCTAGGAAGTGTGTGTGTTTTCTTGCTTTTCTTTCATCCAGTCTAAATCAATCTCCCTGACACTTCCATCCATTGCAACTTCTGTCTTGGAGGGCCAAGAAGAACAAGAGTTACCTCTTTTCTACCAGAGAGTCTTTCAAATACTGGAAGGAAGCATTAGAAGCCACCCTCATTCATGTCACCAAAGCCTTTTATTCTATTTCTTAAATATACTCCATTTTTTTTGGGGGGGGGAGAAGACAGTTGAGGTTAAGTGACTTGCCCAGGGTCACACAGCTAGTAAGTGTCTGAGGTCACATTTGAACTGAGGTCCTCCTGATTCCAAGGCCAGTGCTTTATGCACTATGGCCCACCTAGCTGCCCCTTCCTCAGTTCTTTTAACCGATGCTCATATGACTCATTAAGTTCCTTAAACTCTTATAGACTTGTAGAGGAAAAAAAATAATAACAGTAATATCTTATGGGACTTTAAGCTTTGAAAAGGGCTTTACTCTTTGTATTTACCTACTGATAGGTAGAATTGTTGTCATTTTAGTTTTGGTTGTGTCTGACTCTTTGTGAATCCATTTGGGGTTTTCTTGGCAAAGATACTGGAGTGGTTTGTGATATCCTTTTCCAGTTAATTTTACAGATGAGGAAACTGAGGCAAACAGGTTTAAGTGAGTTGCCTAGGGACACAGACCTAGTAAGTGTCTGGGGCCTGACTTAAGCTCAGGAAGATCCTGATACTCTATCCTATCCATTGTATCAACTAGCTTCCAGAGAGAGAGAGACAGAGAGATATATAGAGAGAGACAAAGAGAGAGAGAGAGAGAGAGAGAGAGAGAGAGAGAGAGAGAGAGAGGGAGGGAGACAGAGACAGAGAGACAAAGACAGAGAGACAGAAAGAGAAAGAGAAGGATAAAGAGGAAGAGAGAGAGGAAGGGGGGAGTGAGGGAGAGAGAGAGGGAGGGAAGGAGAGAGAGAGACAGAGAGACAAAGAGACAAAGAGAGATATGAAATTTCACTTCTGCCTGTGAATAATAATGCCTGTGTGGGGCAGCTAGGTGGCACAGTGGATAGAGCACTGGACCTGAAGTCAGGAGGACCTGAGTTCAAATCCGGCCTCAGACCCAACACTTGACACTTACTAGCTGTGTGACCTTGGGCAAGTCACTTAACCCCAATTGCCTAAAAAAAAAGCCAAAAAAAATAATAATGCCTGTGTGTTCCTGTGCCTCGTGCATCTACAAAGCTCCAGTCTCTTGACACCAACAAAGGTCATGTGGTCCTGATTTCATCTTTTCTCACTTTGTTTTTTGCACCTTCCTAATTTATCTATTAGGAGACATTGTTTATTATAATTACCTGTGTTGGTATCTTGACATCTTTCTAGTCCTCTTACACATAATTTCCGTCCCTGAACTCTACAGCCTGGCCTCACTGACCTATTTGCTGTTCTTCACACATCTCCCATCCCTATGTCTTTGCATGTGCATGCCCCATGCCTAGAATGTCTTTCCTCTTCACCTCTGCCTCAGCTCAAGTTACCACCTCCTCCATGAATCCTTTGCTTACCCTCCTCCCCCAGCTGCTAGTGCACTTCCTTTCAAAACTACTTTGCTTTCACCTTATGGTTACTCTGGCTACACACATATGTGAAATGTTGTCTCCTTCAATAGAAAGTAAGCTCTCAGAGGGCAGTGATGATTTCACTCTTATCTTTGCATTCTCAGATCTTAGGAGAGTACCGAGCACCTAGTAAGTGCTAATAAATGCTCGATGACTGATGATCAAATGAGACAGTGTATGTTAAAAATTGTGCAAATCTTTAAGTGCTATGTAAATATTATTATTATTATTATTATTTGGGCCAGCTAGGTGATGCGACACCAGGCCTGAAGTCAGGAAGACTTACCTTCTTGAGTCTGGCTCAGACACTTACTAGCTCTGTGACCCTGGGAAAGTCACTTAACCCTGTTTGCCTCAGTTTCCTCCTCTGTAAAATGAGCTGGAGAAGGAAATAGCAAAGCACTCCATTATTTCTATCAAGAACACTCCAAATGGTGTCATGAAGAGTCAGATTCAATTGAAAATGACTCAACAACAATAACAACTTATTATTATTATTATTAGTAGTAGTAGTAGTAGTAGTAATATTAGTAGTGGTGGTAGTAGTAGTAGTGGTAGTAGTAGTAGTAGTAGTGGTAATAGTATTAGTAGTGGTGGTAGTAGTAGTAGTGGTAGTAGTAGTAGTAGCAGTGGTAATAATAGTAGTAGTAGCTCCCTACTAGACGATAAACTCCTTGAAGGCAGAAACCATATTTTGCCTTCTCTTGGTGGGATTGCTGTCTTATTATGTGTTGGACTAAATGGCATCTGAAGTTTCTTCCACCTCTGAGTGATTCTGTAAACTTTGAATTTTTCCCCAGGATCTAGAAGCTTGTTCAGTATGCAGCAGGTGCTCAATAAATGTATTTGTGTTTTTTTCCAGGAAACACCAATGGCTTGATGACTATTTCTACCTACTACACAGTGTCAGCATTGCATCGGCACACACATCCAGGGGGTCTAGATGGAGGACTCAGCCCACATTACATGATCTCCCTCAGCACAATTCCACCAAGTCTGTAAGAGTCCATTGCCTTCATGACAAATAGGTGATGGAAGAGAAAGGGATTGAGGGAATGGGCAGTGAAAAGAATTAAGATGTGAGGAGCTTAGCAGATAGTGATAGAGGAGAACAGAATGAGGTCAATGCAGAATTTCTGCAGGTAGAAGTGATGGGGATGATGACTGGTGCATAGAACATGGAGCCACATGCCTCATTAAAATTGTAGATTGCAGGCAAAGAAGGTGAGACACTGGAGCAGTGAGAGTGAGCTGAGCAGCCTAGCTACACAAATTTCCAGATGCCATTAAAAAAAAGCTCAGAGAAAGACTTCGGCATGGTGGGTTGGTTTTTGGAGGACTTATGGAAAGGCTTGAACAAGAATTACACAGAACCTGAGGGAATGGATAGGTTGCTAGCTCCAGGGGTAGAGGAAGCATCTATACCATTTAGATCACAGATCCTCATAGATATCAAAGAAGTGATAGGACTTAGTAACCATGAGTGGGAAATGGAGTGATGGGGGCACTAAAGATGAGGCTGAGATTCCAAATCCAGGTACCTGGAAGAGCAGTGGTATCACTGATAGGGACAAGGAAGACAGGAAGGGAGAGGGTGGCTATTTACAAATGCTGAAGCTACACATTGCTAGCTGAATCTCTAGCTGTCAGCTCTTCTGACTGAACCCAACCTTATGGAGAGTCCTACGCAAAGCACCTTGGACTTCCTTGTTCCGTAGGCAGTAGATGATTGGGTTACACATGGGTGTGAGCACTGTGTAGATGACAGAAAGCACTTTGTTGAGGTCCATGGCTTCAATTCTGCTGGGCCGGGCATAGATGAAGATGGTGGCTGAGTAGAAGATGCCAACCACAATGAGATGGGAGGCACAGGTAGAGAAGGCTTTGCGTCGGGCAGCGGCTGAAGGCATACACACCACTGCTGCCCCAATAGCCATGTATGAAGCCAAGGCAACCAGCAGTGAGCCCCACAGGATGACAATGGCTGAGATGAAGTCGACCAGCTCAGTCAGTGCTACATGAGTACAGGAGAGATTGAGCAGAGGAGAGACGTCACAAAAGAAGTGGTTGAGGACATTGGGGCCACAGTAGGACAGCCCAGCAATGCAGGCTGTCTTGATCACAGAGACACTAAGGCTGCCCATCCATGAGGCCATGGACAGCGTGAAGCAGACCTGGGGCCTCATGAGTATTGGATAGTAGAGAGGACGACAGATAGCCACATAGCGGTCATAGGCCATGGAGGCCAGGAGTGTGCACTCAGCACAGATAAGTGTGATGAAGAAGAAGAGCTGAGTCATGCAGGATGTGAAGGGGACATGGCAAGGCCCTGACCACAGCCCAAGCAGCAGGGTGGGCACCGTGACTGAGACGTAACACATCTCCAGGCAGCTCAGATTCCCCAGGAAGAAGTACATGGGCTTGTGGAGCCCTGGGTGGCTCCAGATGAGCAGAATGATGACGGTGTTCTCCAAGAGAGTCAGCAGGTAGAGGGTCAGGAACACAGCAAAGAGGACACCACGTAAGCCTGGCCTTGTCGACAAGCCCAGCAAGATGAACTCCTGGAACCGGGTCATGTTGGCCTCCTCCCAGTGTCTTCCAGGCTAGAGACAAAGAGCACAGAGTTCCCATGATGGCTCATGGCCCATTGTAGGAAAAGGATGGACAGGGTGCCTGCGTTCTCTGAAAAGGGCCATAGCTTCCCATTTCTACATGTTGGGCTTTCCTGACAACGACCTTGAGAGGTCAGTAGTGAAAGTAAAATCACTCCCATTTTACAGATGAAGAAACTAAGAAACTAAGCCTGTTGTACTAGGCTGTTCTACCAAAGAGTAGTTGGAATCCCCTACCTAGAGGTTTGCAGATGAAGGCTTGCAGGATGATTCATTAAGGATGCTAAGGAGGACATATGTCTTTAAGTATGATTTGGACTTTATGACCTCTGAACCTTCATCCCACTCTGAGATTCTACAATGTCATGATTCCATCTCCTATGAGACAATAATTCTTTTTTTTTAAGTTATTCATTTATTCTTTTGTTTGTTTGGGCCAGGAAATTGGGGTTAAGTGACTTGCCCAGTGTCGCACAGCTAGTGAATGTTATGTGTCTGAGGCAGGATTTGAACTCAGGTCCTCCTGACTCCAAGGCTGGTGCTCTATCCACTGTACCACCTAGCTGCCCTGAGACAATGATTCTTACACAAAATCCTGGAATCAGAAGCTTGAAGGTGAAAGGGACCTCAGAGGCAGTCTAGGGCTGAACTCTGCCAACCCTGTCTCTAGCATCCCAAACAAATGGTAATCCAGTCACCAATTGAAGACTTAAGATGACGAGAGACTAACTCACTTGTTGTTCAGTCATATTCAGCTGTGTCTGACTCTTTGTGAGCCCGTTTGGGGTTTTCTTTGAAGAGATACTGCAGTGCTTTGCCATTTCCTTCTCCAGCTCATTTTACAGATAAGGAAACTGAGGCAAACAGGGTGAAGTGATTTGCCCAGGTCACACAGCTAGTAAGTAAGTGTCTGAAGCCAGATTTGAAGTCCAGAAGATAAGTCTTCCTGGCTCCAGGCCCAGTACTCTATCCATTTCACTCCTAGCTGCCTCAACAAAGGTAATGTTCACTTTCAAGTGGGCAAAGTTGTTGAGCTCCCCCTGCCCTCTCTCTGCCTTATGTGGCCATATGAAACAATCCATTTCCTCTCCTAATATTTGAGGACTTTGCTTCCCTCCAAAGTCTTCCCTTCTCAGTTCTAAAGGTCCCCAGCTCTTAAAACTAATCCTTACAGTTTGGTTTCCTGAGTTCAAATTCAACCTGAGACACTTACATGTTCAGTGACCCGGGCAAGTCATTTAGCCTCTGTCTACCTCAGTTTCCTCATCTATAAAATAGGGATAATAACAGTATCTCTCACAGAATTGTTGTGAAGATTAAATGAGATAATAATTGTAAAGTGCTTAGCATAGTGCCTGGTACATAGTAGGTACTGCATAAATGCTTATTCCCTTCCGTCCATCTCTTTGGAGAACCTTGACCAACACAGTTAGATGGAAAATTAAAAAAAAAAAGATCTGTTTTTTTCTAGGCCAGAGTGCAACTGCGGAGCCTTGTAGCTGAAAAAGACAGTACAAGAAAAAGAGCACTAGACTGGGAGTCAGGAAGACCTGAGTTCAAATCTAGTCTCAGACACTTAATATGTGAACTTAGGCCAGTCACTTTACCTCAATTTGCCTCAGTTTCCTCAACTGTAAAATTAGGGAAAAAAATAGTATGTACCTCTGAGGGTTGTTGTGAGGATTAAATAAGACAATGATGGTAAAATGCTTAGCACAGTGTCTGGAACATAGAAATCATTATATAAACATTATTATATAAATTATTATATAAATTTACAAATTATATTATATAAATACTAGCTATTAAGAACCTTCGTTGTAAAGGAAGAAACCTCCATACCAAATTCTCTACTCAAGGCTCTGGTGTTCTTGACATATACTTGCAGGGGGTGGTTTTGTGCATTTTGCACACCTTTCCTGTCAAGCATAACTTTAAAAATTGTATTTCTAATTAAGCAATTAAAAATGTGACAAGCATGCCAACATCAGTCACATATTTCTTTAATTAAGATTTGTTTCTGTCTGACTATATAGTATTCATTATATTAAAGATAAACCAGTAAAAATATTGTTAGCTGTCAGTAGTAGTAGCAATTTCAAAAAAATGCTTATAGTTCTTAACCTGTAGGCTATGACTTTTAAAATTGCTAACTATATTTTCATTATAATAATAGCTAGTATTTATATGGTACTTATAGTTATATATATTTATATAGCTGTATGTAACTATAATATAGTTATAATAATAGCTAGTATTTATATAGATTTGCAAAACATCATATACATATCTTTTTCAATCCTCAAAACAACCCTGGATTTTCAATGCTATTTTCCACATTTAATAGATGAGGACACTGAGGCAAGTAGAAGTTAGGTGATGTGGCCAGGGTCACACAGCTAGTAAGTGTAGGAGCAGGATTTAAACTCAGAGCTTCATGACTCCAGCTCTCTACCACCTGGCTACCTTTATATAATTAGTTTCTTTTGTAAGTCCTGGTATTTTATTTTGGTCACCTAAAAACATTTTTCTAAGAAAGGGTCCATAGGCTTCATCAGTTTGCCAAAAACGGTAAAAAGGAAAAAAAAAGGAAAGAAAAGAAAAGAAAGAAAAAGAAAAGAAAAAAAAGAAAGAAAAACAAACCCCTCCCATAGGTTTAGAGAAACTCCTGAATGAGAGATTGAAATTATATTTTACAGATTGCTTGACTAAACTTTTCTCCTTTAGCTTTGTGTCTTGAACTCAATCCCCAGCACAGCATTTCATAGAAGCTTTGAATCTCAACACTGGAAGGAGCGTCATATGTCATTAGTACGACCCACTGCTGGAGCAGATGGAGCTTCCTCCTCAATGTCCCTGCAAGTCATTATGCCGTCTGATGCTTTCTTGAGTCTGGCGATGTCTAAAGCTAACATCTAAAAAGGAGAGCCAACCAGGAGCCCCCTGTACCCTCTGTTATCTGAGCCAGGTCCTTTTTCCAATTCTGTGATTTCAGACTGAGACAATGGCTATCTCTATGGCATCTGCTTTCCAGGGGCCACAGTAGGCAAGCTTGGGAGGGTTTGGAAGGAAAGACTTATGAGGGGCACTGTCTCTGTCTTCATACAGAAGAGATTTTGGACTTGTTCCATGTGGAAAAAGAAGGCAGCAAGAAGAGTAAGGGGAAGAATTTACAGGTAATTTGCACTTAGAGAAATTCTCCACCACCCCCGAAGCAGGTGTCAGGGCAGCTAAGGTCCAACACTGAGAAACCACTTGGTCAAGTGCAATGAATCCTGAATGAACTAGACCTGACTGTATTCCTGGCTGTACCTCTAATCGACCTTGTGAAAGGGGTTTCATTTCTTTAAAATCCCCTAGTTTTCTCTGATAGCCATTATCATCCAAGCTTTTGATTGACAGCTAGGTGGTATCCTTGAATTATTACGATCAATGTAGAAGACTGCTTTATGGAGAGCTCACACAAAGCGAGTGCTTACATGGAGGTCAGTAGAAGCAATACTAGGACATTTTCAAGGTCTCTTTGGAATCGATTGAGAGACATTGGAGATGCTAGCACAGGACAGCCCAGCGTGGCATGCCCAGATCAAAGAAGGCACTGTGTTCTATGAGCAACGTGAACAAAAGAAACATGAGATGCACAAATTTAGAGACATCTCTACTGCAATGTGGACTATTTGTGTCCAACCTGTGGTAGAGCCTTCCAAGATCATATTGGTCTGATCAGCCATAGTCAGACACGCCATACCTCGACCCCAACAGAGTGATGTCATTTTGGTTCACTTCAAGCCCAAAGGACAGCCAACCCAGGGGGCCCCTGTTTCCCTTTGGAGCAGCCATGTCACTTGTGGATAGTTCTGACTACTAGGACATTTTCCTTACATCAAGCCCACAATTCCTCCTTCACAAAATATATTAGACCCTTTCAGCTCTGACATTTTGGGATTAAATGGTTGCCAATCCCTCCTCCATGAATTGTTATCAATTGTAGGTTGTTAAATGAGGAAGAATGCTTAGAACGTAGAGTATTAATGTCCAAGATGACCTGGAGAGAACCTTAGAACAAAGAACGTTGGATTTGTGAAGGAGCTTGGGGCATTGAATGTTAGAGCTAGGAGGACCATTAGAACACAGAAAACAAAATGTCCAAGCAGGTAGGAGCTTTCAAACTTGGAACATCAGAGCTTGGAGGAACCTTAGAGTTCATTAATTTCAAGTCTCTTATTTTTCAGTTTTGTGTGTGCTATTTTCAAGTTCACCCTGTGTCATTTACTCCTGTGTCCTCACAATAGAAGTTCAGCACCCCTGAGTTACCCTTTTGGAGTAAGACCATCAGTAACTGGCAAAGGCCAGTTTCCCACTGGTTTGGGGTTTGAATATCAGCTTGCTTCTAATTCTTCAGGTGTCTCTGCTCCCTTCCTAGCATCAGTCATCACTATTCCCCACGTCCAGGCCCTTGGCTTTCTTCTAGCACTTAGCACATTGTTCCAGGCTTAGCACAGTGCCTGGCACACAGCAGGTGCTTAATAAAGGTTTATTGCTTGATTCCCCCAATGCCTAGTCCTTATAGATCCATAAAAGGACCCTCTATAACTCACCAGACTTTAGAGGTATAGACACTCCATTCTCAGGGAAGTCTGTCCAGTTTTCACCACCTTCTCTCACTACCTTTCATATCATAAGCATGTCCTCTCAATAAAACCGCCTTGTTATGTCTAGCTATGTGCTCCACGTTTCCTTGTAGTAGACCTCAGTACCCTGAACCTTTGCAGAGTCTCAGAGCTCAAGAGGATGGGCAGATGACACAGACAGAGGTGCAGAGAGCCAGGAATATCTGAAGGCACTGACCCTTCCTGCCAGAAGCTTTCCCACATAGCAACACTGAAGCTAGGTGTAAGCTAGGTGTCATTTGATGAAGATTCTTAGCCCAAGAATCAGAAGGCCTGGTTCGTTGTCTAGCTATGAGACCCTGAGTAAGTCCTTGCCTCTCTTTAAGTCTGCTTCCTCATCTGCGAAAAGGGGTCTAGGAACATTTGCTCCACCTCATTAAAAAGTTCATTGTTGGCTGAGAGCTTTGCACCTGCTTGGGTGAGCTGTTGTTGGCATTACTGAGTGTTTTGATTTCTTGGACCTATTAAGGGGGTGGTGAGTCAGCGGGTGACAGAGGAAATAGAAAGCTGGCTTAGTGAGACCTGGGTTTGAATTCTGACTCTTGACACTTAGTGGCTACGTGACCTTGGGTAAGTCACAGCTTTTCATGGCTCTAGGCGAGTCTCTTGGGCTATAAATTGCAGGGAAAGTACTGATTTGATTGGTGGAGGGAATTTTCTCCTACAGAGAGCTTCTATTACCAGTGAAATCACAAACCTAGCCCCATTCACCCCTCAGCTTTACAAATCCTTTCCCACCATTCATCAGAAGTGGCCTTTGCCCCTTCCTCCCTCCACCTCTTCAACTGCTGGATAAGCTGGTTTAAGAGCTTCCTCCTTCCCATCTCTTTTCTGAGACTCACCTCCTCCATGGAGACATCCTTCATGAACTCTGCCAGCTTCCTGTCACCTCAGCACCTCAGCTGGACCTTGTGGGCTCTTCTATCCTTCAGACAACCGTGTTCTCTCACTGGAACACAAAGGTACATCAATGGTCTCCAAACTGGGGCTCCCTCATGAGGCATACCACATTCCCTTCATGAATTCCAAACCTAATGGTCTTTTGACTGTTGTGATCTTCCTTCATTTTGAGGTCATTCTCAAATATCAGTGACCACTCTCACCATCCTGATTACTCTCTCAAAAAGAGTCTTGGGCTGTCTATGAACTCTGAAAGGTTCTCAGCCCTCTGGCAAAGCCAGCCCAGGAATCCTGTGGTCTAGGTCACCCAAACATTCTGGATCCAGCCTTAGGCCAAAGTGAGTCACAAGTAAACAGTGCAAATCTATGCTGCTACAAACTGATAAATTTGGAGTCAGTGGCCATGAGTTCAAATTTCCCTCTGATCCTTATTAGCTGGGATCATCACTTCACCTCTCTAGGGGGCAGTTCTTTCTCCTGTAAAACTTGGGGATGGGACTTGACCTCAAAGTTTCCTTTCAGCTCCAAGTCTGTGATCTTCCATTGTCTACCCTGACACATTTCTGGGAGCTTTCCTCCTACTCTTTTCTTTCTCTTTCTCTGTCCCCATTTATCTCCTTCCTCCTACTCCAAAAGCAGCAGCAGCAGCAGCAGCAGCAGCAGCAGCAGGAATATTTCATGAACATCCTTGTAAGGTTCTCTCTGACCCTCTGCCCCTTTTTGCTGCATAATTTCCCCCAGGAATTTCATCCACTTTCACAGCTGTAGTTATCACCTCTCTGTCAATGTCTATAAACTCTACCCAGCCCTAATTTTTCCCTGGCCCTCCGTCCTGCATCTCCATCTGCTCACTGAATATCCCCTAAGAGTCCTTGTGCCACTCAAACTTACCAAACACCAAAATGAAATCATATTTTCTACCCTGATGCGAAACTCACCCACCTCCCAAATGCCTCTGTTTCTTCTGAGGGCACCTTCTTCATTCCTACTGTCTATGCTTGAAACCTGGGGAGTCACTTCTGATACTTTCCTCTCCCTTACCTTCCACATCCAATCAGATGCAAGCCCCCTTGACTGTTCATCGTCTCTCTCCCAGCATCTCTCCTTCTGTTTCCTCCTCTCCACTTGCACAGACACCACCCTAGTCTGGATCCTTAGCCACACTCACCCGGACTACCTTCATAATCTCCAAACTGGTCTCTCTGCCTCCAGCCTCTTTTCTCTCCTATTATTCCTCCTACAGCTGCCAAAATATTCTTTCTACCTTACAGGTCTAACCATGAGATCTCCCATTCAGAAATCTTCTGTGGGTGAATTCTCTAAACAAGTAGCATCACAGGACAGTGGACTTAGAGGCAGGAGGGGATCTTAAAGGTCATCTAGTCCAATCCCCTTGTTTTACAAATGAGGAAACTGAGGCCCAGAAAAGGGAAGTGACTAGCCCACAGTCACACCTGTGACTGAGGACTTCAGACACAAGGTCTTTTATTTTATATCCAACACTCATAGAATGATACATGTCAGAATTGAAAGGACCATTAGAGTTCATTGAGTCCAATGCCCTCATTTTTCAGATCAGGAAAGTGAAATGGGAAGACGTCACATAACTTGCCCAGGGTCACATAGGTAATAACTGTCTGGAATCAGGATTTGGACTCAGGGCTTCTTGAGCTTAAGCCCAGCCTTTGGCCATTGAACTATTTGAGCAAAAGAACAATCATAAAACATCAATGATTACAAATTTTTTTTTCAATAGTCATACTGACAAGGTGTAAGAAAAATTAAAATGAAAACTTGGACTTTTTACCTGAAACTCAATAAATTAGCAACAGTAGCAAAAGGCAAAAATACACAGTGTTTGAGAGAGTGTAGGAATATAACTATACTAAAACATCATTAGAGAAATGGTGAACTGGGTCAACCCTTTGGAAAAGCAATTTGGAATTTTGTGAGAAAAATCATGAAACCTTTCAAAGCCAAGAAGGTAGACATCTCCCTACTGGGCATGCAGTACCTGGAGGTCAAAGGCAGAAAGAAATGCTCTAAAGTGTGCCAAAATATTCATAGTAGCACTTTTGGTATTATCCCCACCCCCTAAAAATTCCATAAATACCTGTTAATTGTGAAGTGGGTGAATACATTGTGGTTGTCAATCAGGTGGAATGTTAGTGCACCATAGGGCTGAAAAGGACCTTGGGGGTCTTCTAGGCCACCTATCTCACTGGACAGCTGAGGAAACTGAGGCTAAAAGAGGTAACAACTTGCTCCGGGTACCGCCATCCTGTAAGTGCCAGAGCCAGGATTCCAATATAGGACCATCAGTTTAGAGCTGGATGTGACCTTCA